TAAATTAATTGATTTTATTTATCGTGGTTGGTTTAAAAGCCTAGTTCAAAATATTTTTAAAAAGAAGAATTTTATATTCACGACTGGATATAAAAAAAAATTAACATTAGGAGGTTGTTTTTTTTACTAAAAGACAACTAAACTAGCGGTGACAAATATATGAACATACGTTGCTATCAAAAGAAAAGACTTATGAAAATAATTACTTCTTCCATCAAGATTTTATATTTTCATTGATCAAAAAATTGAGATAGAAAACTGTTATTGTTTATCCAAAAAATAAAAAAAAATCTTAATTTTTCAACTAAACCTGTTTAGTTGAAAGTTTAACATGCAAGTTAGATTCATTGGCTTAGAAAAATTTTATGTTCTTTTAGACTGAAATTATTAAAAAATAAAAAATAATTTATTCTGAAGAATGATCAAATCTAAAATTGAAAAGTGAGTCAAATAAATTTTTACATCGTATCATATGAAAATTTGCATTAAAATCTGAATTATCAATAACAACTTTGACATCAAAATTTATAAAGAAGAAAATCGATGAAATTGATTTTCAGCTCATGTTTTCAGTTTTTGAAATTGAGAGGGTATATATTTTACTTATATATAAAAAAATCTTATTGCAGTGTTTAAGGTTAACAATATAATTTTGAATCTCAAAGTAGAAAAAAAAAGTCATGAATGAAGATTAAAAATTTGACTTATTGAATAACTAAAAATAGTGATGCGGTTGGGCTGGATAAGAATCAATCAATAACAACTCAAGCGCAATATAGAGTAAATAAAAATTACTTCTAATCTATTATTTGTAGACGTCTTGCACATTAAAGAGCTAGAAATTGAAGATTAATGGTCACATAAATAATTTTGAAATTTTTTTTATCTTCTTACAATATGAAACTTTGTATTTCGATACTCAAAAAAAGTTACATGTACATATTATATTCAATTAAATGAAAGACACACAAGTCTCATGGTGAAAGAGCTAGATTTTATCATTGCTTATGTGTATCTTCAAGAGAGATGATGAAATTTTAGTTTTGTGATTTTGTTAAAAAACTAAGATTGTTAAATCCAACAATCTCATTTAAAATTTCTCAGTTTTTCCATATTACGTCTTTTAATTTTTAAATATGAATGTACATCAGAAGATATTTAGAATCTAATAGATGTAAATATTAGCTATCTTACACACAATATATTGGAAGTTACATAATGTTATATGATTAGAACGTAATTTGAATGAAATTTTTGATTTATAGAATCAGCACTGTTGTAATCGAGGTGTTATGTAATAAGAAAATGTCCAAATAATACATTAAAACTTCTAGATAAAATGAATTGTTTGATATCAAAACAGTTATATGCATTTTAGTAGTATTTAGCATGGAGAGAAATTTGTATTGACAACACAAAGAGACGGAGATAAATCTAATCTAGAATTATGTGGAGCATAACGATTCCAATGCAATAAACGTACAGTTACTGATAAAATGATTAGAAATCTATCAACATATAATGACTACTGCCACTAGGAATCCAGACACTATAGGCAAACCAAAAGGTAGAACTATCTTGTGATGTGAAAAGTATAATTCCTCATATCAGTTTTGATTTAATTTCCACCTAGTTTTTAATTGGCCTGCTTAGGTTTTTTTACCATTGATAATTATTTTGCCATGGAAAAGAGGCAAGATAATAAATTGAAATTTCGGCTTTTTCGCTCATCCTCGCATTTATTTTGTATGTAAATTGTGACTGAAGAAAAAAACCTCGGCACGAACCCCAAGCACGTGTCCCGTCCATTAAGTTCGCACTGTTTTCGTAACAAGTTAGAATGACTGGGCAGGACGTTGTAATCACAGGAGCAATAAGCACAAGGTTGCACGTTGATTTCCATTCAGGGACTGTTGGAAACGGTTCAGGAGCTACCAGCAGAAGGCGAGGAATGCTCTGACAAGCAGAGAGCAGATTGACTGGAGAATGTTTCCCGACCGGCGGTGAAGGAATCTGGAAGTCATTAGTGCATGAGAGATCGTGAGCGAGATCTCATGATACCTTACGAATCATGCAACCAAATAGTCTTCAAGGGAGAATCGAGAAGAGCCGGATAAATCGTTCATTCCGTAGCCGTGTAAAAAGTGACTGCGACTGATCACTGATTCCAAAAGCGGCAGCTTCCCACTTCGAAAGCCGGCATCTGCTGCATGTGGGGCGTGCAACCGTGTTACCGGTGGAAGTTGAAATCGATGGCTCGAAAGTTTGCAAGTTGCTGACAAAATGGAAACGAATATAACGAAGCTTTTTTCGCTTTTGGACATCGGCGATTCGTATAGTAATATTCCCACGTCACGAAATCCTCAGAAGTTAAGAAACGGAGATAATTTCAATCGCAAAGGCAATAAACAAACAAAAGTCAAGGTACTGCAGGCTTGCAGATGATGGATCCCGCTTGCGCAACGTTCGCTCGCTCCCACAGCTCAAGGCTTGTGGGTTTAATTCAGATTTTCCATCGCAGAAGCGCAGATTGCAGATCCAGCAGCAGTGCTGATGGATCTGCAACCAGAAACTCAGCAGCAATGAAGAAGTGCTTGACCACAGAAGAAAAATCTTCGACATTCAGGTCTTCATCAGATTTCATTTTTAAAAGCCAGTCAGCGGTTGCCAGGTTGACAAGTCGTTGACCTGACGCACTTGGATCGTCGAAGCTCCGTGGGCAATCTGGAGCCTCTGAATGGAGAATGGACGACGAGAGGCGATCGGAGTGGTATCGCTGGCGCATCTTTCGACGTAGACTCCTTTGAGAAGTAAGTCAAAGATGATGCCGAGTGGATCATAAATTCGACGACGAGAGAGAGACGAAGTCGTGAGAAACTTACGGGTCGAGCTTTAGGACCCTTTGAGAGGCTCGGGCATCTTCCGTTGTCCTCCATGATGAAGCTGTAATTTCCTCTGTATGAACCGACAGATAGAACCGAAAGAAGCTTGAGATTTTTCGCCAACGGACTATTTTCGGAATCCGTAATATTCGTGTCGCGACAACGGAGTTGCGATGAAAGTCGGGACGACTTATCTATTGTAACTCAAAGATCGTTTTTTTTCTTCTTTCCCGGTGGCAATGGATCCTCCTCCATAGACTGCTTTGACTCCATAAATCTCAGTTTATGGAGTCAAAGCAGGTCAAGCACCAGCAACAGAATCCGAGCAATGCATGGACGGGAAAAGAAGAACCGATCAGAGTATTGTAGTTATTCCCCTTGAGAGAAGGCTCCTTGTAGACGTCCCAACTAAGAATTCACATCACATTCATGAGCTAATCGTGTGGGTAATTGTCGATTATTATACATAGCTCTGGAATTCCAGACGCAACGAACGTTCTCGTAGCTTTGGAGGAAGTAGGTCGTTGTGGAGGGGAGGGTGGGGGTTATCGGAATCATGCTTTCAGATATTTGTCTCTTTTCGAAAAGTGATCCGCAGGTCATACTGAAAATTAGAAAGCGCCTTTGAGATGAGAAGGTGGCTTCGAGTGGCCATCTCGAAATAGAGAAAACAGGGGAGCAGCCTCTGTGTAGCCTCCGTAGTAGCTGCTCGCGAGGATTGTGAGAACGAGAGACAGGCGAGCAAGGTGACTGATGAGCAGCGTCGTGGAAACCACACCCGTGAGTGGAAGTGACAGCTGAGCTGAACTTCTTTTCAAACAAATTTGAAACGGACAGAGGCTTGAAGGTATACTTGTGTCGGGCTCGACATAATATTGCTCCTCAATGAAGTTCCAGACACAAGCAGGCCCTGAACTGTCAGACCAACCCAAGGTCAGCTCTACTACATCTTCTCTTCGAATAATTGTTCCCAGGTTTAGATCACTGCCTGAAAACACGTATCAAGAAATTTGGATTCGAGATTTCTGATGACGAATCAGGCTCGATTAAAATAAATAACGCACTTTCCCATGTAACAGGTCAGGTCTGGACACGTCTCAATGAGATGGCTTTCCGCTCACGAAATGTTTGAGTGAATATGGCACCAAATAAGAGCTGCCTCGCCGGAACAGCTGGAGGATGCTTCCGAGCCGTGAACGCATGACGAAGCTATACCTCTATTCAGTGCACAGCTCGCTCCAGCCGTGCACATAAGGCTGGACCCATCGGCGCCGAACATTTCGTTCCTGGCTGAACAAGCATTGCTCGGTAGAATGGGACGAGATTAGCCACCACGGGCAACTAAAGCTCGAGTCCGAAATGCTGACCAGCCACCGCGGCTCATAGCAGAGATCGTTTGTCTTCATCCGAGAGCGGTGGCTACTCACTCATTCACTGCCAAAGCCTTCTAGGAATCCAGTGAGTGACCTATCGAAGCAAAATGTTCACGCAAGCATTGGAGCAGGAGCCGATCGAGCTTACGTCATGCCGACATCAGACCCACTAGAGTCAGCTCGATCCCATCTGAATATTCAACCGCAGCACGCGTATGCCCGGTCTCCTCAACGGACCGGGCGATTCTCATAGACCTTTGCCGCTCTGCTGTACACTTACAGCTCTGAAAAAGTGAAATGAAAGAGTCTATGGCGCTCCTTAGTGGACCATGGGACCTATTGGGAGGGCCGGCTCTCTTCTGGTCGGACATTTTCTTCTACTACAAGCTTTCGGAACCTGTGGGAGGGTGGGGGAGGGGGCGGCGGGTGGAGTTACGAAGCTACGAAGGCCAGATCAGCGTGGGGTTCAATGAAGAAGAGGCGCTTAATATGGAGCTAAATATTAAGTCAATTGGAAGAGTAAGTTATATAAGAAAAAGGAAACTTCGATGCAAACAGTCTCGCAGGCGTTTTACAAACAAGTACAAGTTAGATCGGCGACAGTTTACTTTCGAAACATGAATCTTTCTTCTGTAAAGTGAGATTGATGAGACAGGTTTTCAGCTCGTTGAAAAAGTCACAGGGACCACAATGCCTGAGGGCATATAAGTTGGCAAAGAACATACCTCCTCACCACATCCGCATCGTGTTTTCCTCGAGCTTGAGCTAAACAATTTCGACACTGCCTGCCTGCTTGCTCTGCTTCATAAGCAAAAGGAGTACCAAGACCAGCAGGAGCGGCATTCAAAAGAGTCAAGCTGAACATCCTTGAATTCAGCTGATACTCAGTAGATTCTCAAGGAGCCAGTTGTAATTTAGCAACTGGACCTTTACTTGCTGAACTGTGAGATGGAAAATCCTGGACGGAAACTGAGTACGTCTTGGGTTCTAGTTCTTTTTCTTGGTGCTCTTCTTACAGATCATCTAGCAACAGGGCAGCTCAGCTCAACATTCTACGATTCCACTTGTCCGGATCTACTGAGTACAGTGAAGTCGGGCCTGGACAGTGCAGCAGCATCAGATTCACGACTCGGAGGATCTCTTTTGCGACTGCACTTCCACGATTGCTTTGTTAATGTGGGTAAATTCACTCATTCATGTTTCATTCGTGTTTAACAGTTTTTTCTTCAACATAATCCTCAGGCCTTGGTTCAGTATTGTCAGAAGAGTGTTGCAGAGCAAATATCGGTCCTCGAGACCATGATGCAGATGATAGCCGGAAATCTTATCTTCTATTCATGACGTTAAACTCCAAGATCATATTGAAACTTCGAAATTAATGCTCTGCTCTGGATTTGTATGCTTATAAAACAAGACAAAAGCGCATCACTAGGGAATTTGAAGTGACAGTGCTCGGCATTAACAAAGTACATGATTTTGTCTCCTTCGCAGGGCTGCGATGCATCGGTTCTGCTCGATGACACCACCACCTTCACTGGAGAGAAGACTGCTGGTCCCAATGCCAACTCCCTTAGGGGCTTTAATGTCGTTGATGATATCAAAGCTTCCGTGGAAGCTATTTGTCCAGCCACAGTGTCATGCGCCGATATTCTTGCCATTCTCGCTCGTGATGGAACTGTAGCGGTGTGTACATTTGAACTTCCTTCCTCTCATTCGAAAACTGAAAAGTCAATACAAGTCTATGCGCTGTGAGCAGATAGACTTGTATTGTTTAGTATGCACTGCATCTTTCAAAGTTTAAAGTTTTGAACACTGATGAGTCTAAATATGAAATATACCTTTTGTAGCTTTATCGTTCCTGTTGAATGTACTGCATGCATGATAACATCAGGAGCCTCATTGTTGGATCATCGCTCTGCGGTATATTCGTAAAAATATAGAACAATGTAATGAATACTGAAATTTGAACCTCATCTTCAATGTGGAGACGGTTTACACTTATTTCTGGTCATAACAAAGATATGATATTATAAACTGAATATTGTTCATTTCCTTGTAGGCAGGAGGCCCTTCCTGGACGGTGGAGTTGGGCAGGCGTGACGGTCTGACAGCCAGCAAATCCGCTGCAGAGTCCGACATCCCAAATCCAACTACAGATGTTTTAGCACTCACCAGTTCTTTCAGTAACGTAGGATTGGATCAAACTGACCTGGCCGCACTCTCAGGTACGAAATTTAAACAGACTCCAACTTGCGTCCTAGCTGATTCATTGATGACGGAAAATCAGCTGATTCAGGATGATTTTCTCCGTAGCGTTATCAACCCGTACATACACTGGACTAGATAGCAACCAAAAGATTTCCTCTTCCATTCAAAAACAGCCAAGTTGTTTGCAGTTTGGTGACATATCAGAGCTTTTCTTAAGAGGAGCCTGAGCGAACTGATTTCGACTAACTTTGAAAATCATGAAAGTCTGAACACTTGTAAATTTCATCTGTGTATAGGAGCTCATACTTTTGGCAAAGCGCAATGTGGGGCCTTCGTGGGTCGTCTTTACGATTATCAAGGTACCGGCAGTCCCGATCCCTCCATCGACCCAGACTTCCTGGCAACTCTGCAGGCTGCTTGCCCAGATGGAGGAGATGCCACTGTTTTGAATAACTTGGACCAAGGAACTCCGACCACATTCGACAACTCTTATTACAACAATCTGCTGACCGGCAAGGGCCTTCTGAATTCGGACCAAGTCCTCGAAACTACTGCAGGCACCACGCAGGACCTCGTCACATCTTTCGGAAGTGACCAGTCAGCATTCTTCTCGCAGTTCGCAACTTCCATGATCAAAATGGGCGGCATCAGCGTCTTAACTGGTTCTTCTGGAGAGATTCGGACCAACTGCCGTGCTGTCAATTCGTAGTAACTGTGTTTTATGTGATTAAGATTGGCTGAGATCTGCCAAGAATATAACACTACCTCGATCATCGAAAACGATATTTACGATATTGCGCGACAGCCAAGCAGAGGGAAATGTACTATTTGCCACCTGATTACGCCATGCCAACGACAGTACATGAAAGAAACCTCATCTAATCTAGGCTCCCGGTTTCCATATTGTGCATAAATTTGATGAGATAGCCTTTGTCACTCAATGCTCATGCTAGCTGTGAATACGTATATCAACTCTCCAGGAGATCCTCCTAGGAATATGTGTGTCTGTAATGATATTCATGTATAAAATATGTCCAGTTTCCATGAGTACAGAATGAATGTTTGAAATTATATTCGACAAGCTCTAACAAATCTCTAAGTATTTCTCTATCTCGTGTGGTTTGTTCTGAGCCTGAACAAATTTCAGTCATCAGAGTATTCATCATTCATACTAATGATGCGTACTGATTTGAGAACGGTTAACTTTAAATTTCGTCTTTTCCATTACGCCGAATCAAACCACCAAATTTTAATGGCAAATTCATATTGGGACATCGAATGCTGTCATTTGCTTGCATAGAAAGTCAGAACTAAACCAGAGATCAAACGCACGACAGCTCAGCTAACTAGTACTGAATATCTGGACAACTTGAAAGTGCGCTCTGAACATACATTGTTTCCTTTATGTACTAGATACCTGGGCCCTGTATCGTGATTGCTTGCATGTTTGGCGATCAAGTCGTAGAAGGCGTTCACCTTCCAAAGTAAATTTTTGCCGAAACGATTTTCATGTACAGATATTAGCGGTTCCAGCATACAAAGACAACTAACTAAAATAAAGCCACAAGCTCCAGAAAAAATAAGAACAGTTGGTCCTCGAACCACGTTGATGAATTTAACCAGAGTACGAATTTACAGGGACATTTAGGTTCACGAACAGCTTCCATCAAAAACTCGAAACCCGATGATGTCCACCTAAATCTTGTCCTGTTCTGCATCATAGTAATACACCCTCCGATCGTAGAATTCTGAACTTGAAACGATAATCACCACAAACCTGAGTTACAATGAAGTCCTTCAATAGAACTCTCCAGATAGCAAATGAATCATGGCAATCTCAAATCTGAGTTGCTATCCAAATCTCTAATTCAATTACACCTTCCAATAGCCGATAGTGATGCCAGAAAATATTTTTTGCTCACGAGTATTTGGAACCTGCGGTTACTGTAGGAGATTGAAATTCTCACGTAGAACTTCAGTATCAGCGTTCTACTTTTTGTATCAGGTTGGTATATATCCCATGATTGGTCTTTGTTTTTTTAAGGGAGTGGCATGCATCACTCACTCAACGCTAATTAACCTTGACCTTACTATAATCTCTTATTGGTAGGACACTCTATTTTAGAAATAGTTGCTATAACCTTGCAAGGACCAATCTGAAAATTACATCAACCAATCCAAGAATAGCGTTTAGTTGCTATTCACCCGCGAACCCTATAACCTTGCATGGACCAATCAGAAAATTACATTGACCAATAAAGAATACGTTTAGTAGAGGGAGTGCTAATTAACCCCAAGTGACTGATAACTAAACTCTCACTTTTTATATTTGAAATTAATACTGTTGTCATGCAGTACAATATGAGCTCGTAGTCATGTAGCTGATCTGACATAATCTTAACAGTTTAAAGAGAAATAGGACAGACATGAACATGCCACTTCTTCCTCCTCTGAAGATTTTTGTGCTTTTCTGTGGGCTCAGATGATCAGATGTTTGCATGGAGATAGAGTGATGGCGTGGCGGCTGGAAGCCTGCTCTGTTAAGTATCTCTAATATTAGGATATACGGATTTAGAATAATTAGCCTGTCCTAGGAAAACGTTCTCCAGTGCTACTGTTCGTGGAAGTGTGAGCCCTCCAACGAGAATATTGTACGAGGGTATTGTAATATTGTTGCAATTTAACATTGGAATCTTCTTTTATATATTTTATTAATTAAAATAAATTGAAAAAGAAGGTCAGGTTTACCTAAGACATGAAAAGTCTATAAACATTAGTTTTCAAGTTTGATGCTAAAATAATTACTTCAGATCATTGGAGGATGCCAGACCTCTGAAGTAGCATTTATGGAGTCAAACCTTGTGAAATTTATGAGCCCAGCAGATCATTAGAGATTGCAAAGTACTTAAGCATGCTTTAATTGGGAAATATTATGTTTGCAATTTCCAAGAGGCATACTTCGTAGAGTCAATATTGAACATCGTAGAGTCGTATACTTGATAGAGTTAGAGTCATTTGTTGAGACAGTTTAGTGCATAAGATCACTTAGGCTTCAAATTCATCGAACGAACAGTTTCCCGAGTAGCTGCTCAGAGAACCTTCTCTTTCAACCCGAATCCACTGACGTAATGGACACATGCTGTAGAAGGCATAATTTCCTGTACATAATTTCCTGCTTGAGATTCCCTATAAAATTGAGACGAGAGAATAACGTTTCTCATCTACGAACTGATCAGTGTTAGACTTCAGTATAAGATAGACAATCTTTCAGAGCTTCAAATTTAAATGGTAATCTGCGAACAACAGGGGAACAATAGACAATTTTTTATGAAGTAAATATTGGTACAGTAGTATGTTACAGCACTCCTGAGTAATTCCAACAAGTTGCATCACCGACAGAGAAAAGTGAGGCAGTTATCCGTAGAACCCATCACTTTGATGCGATCTTGCTCCATTATAGGTCTGTCGCATCGTACGAAATCCACACATACTACATTACGGTTATTGAGTTTGAATTATAAATAACATCGCAGCTATATACATTTCTGGGACCTTAAGTTACATAGCTGCTACGGTAGGGTTCACCACACGGCAGTTAACACGAATTTCGCCATCAGTTCCTTCAAGTGGACTGATATCGCCCATATTAATCATGGAATTTACAAAGGCTGTAAAGAAGCTGCTCTGAGTGCTGGCATACAAGGAGACAAGATCAGCCGTGGATCCTCCTTCCGACTCCAAAGCTTGGTCTGAGGACAGTAAGCCTCTGTTTATCAGGAGATTGGAATAATATCCACCATCAAAGGTGGTTGGCGTTGTCTGATCCAAGTCCACAGTCGTGTTAGCCCCAGCAGCGCAGATGCTATTTAGTGTGGAGTTAAAATCAGGATCGATTGTAGTGTCGGGAGGGTCTCCCCCAATACGAGGGCTGAAAGCACCGCAACGAGCTTTTCCGAAAGTATGTCCACCTGTCGATTTTTCATATTCAAAATTAGCTTCTTTGAGGACCTTACTCTACAAAAAGGCAACATTCACTCCCTGTCTATACTTCTCGGTTTCGATTGCGAATTTAAATTATCTTCAACCACATGGACATTAAAACTTCAGAAGCCAAATTTACAGTTTTAACGGAAGTACCTGAGAGTGAAACCAGGTCCTCGTCTGTGGTCAAACCAACTGCTGCAAATTTATCCCGAAGGGTAGCAACATCAGAGAAGGGAGATGGCAAGAAAGTGTTTGCATTTTCTTTGGACGCAGTCAGACTATCTCTTCTTCCCAAAAGAACACTCCACGATGGACCTCCGAGCTGCAAGATTTCGACATTAGTGGAAACAAAGGCCTCACTTAGCTGGTCACCATCAGATGTTCTTTCATCATTCATAATCACTACTTGTAGAACCAACTGCCACTTTATCTGAAGATATAGATGCTCAAATTTGCATCTTTGACGTTTTCTGCTGGAAATGCATGTGGAAGACATAACTTTCGTGGCAGAAGACTACTTCATTGAATGGCCAGTGTGTACATGAGGACTGGACTTCATCATGTAAGCTGGATCCAACAATTTTTCTCCTAATATACGTACCTGAAACACAGAGTCTCGAGCTGCAATAGCTAAAATATCAGCACATGAAACTGTATTTGGGCATGCAGCTTCCACACTTGCTTTGATCGTGTCTACAACGTCAAAACCTCTCAAAGAATCCAGATTAGGCGTTGCGGTCTTTTCCCCTATCAGTGTAGCAGTATCATCCAATAGCACCGAACCATCACAGCCCTGTTAAGAAAATATCCATATTTTGGCCAAAATTACAATCGATTTATTATGTACTAGTTCTGTATCATCTGAGCCGTGATTTCAATATACGGTTCAAAAGTGCAAGTTCCACAATCTCTTCTCAGAGCTGGATAATGCCTACTAAAATGAAACTAAAAGTAAGTTCAAGCTGAAGTATGGTCGCAGCCTTCACAAACTTACATTTACGAAGCAGTCATGGAAATGTAATCTCAGGAGAGATGCACCCATTCGTGTCTCGTTGGCGATGGCTCCGGCCACTATTTGTTGGACGATGCGTTGCACAGATGGGCAAGTGTTTTCGTAGAAATTCGAGGTGAGCGCAGCATGGGCAGGTGCAGCTGCGATAAGCACAAACAACACCGGCATGCAAATGTTCATCTTCTTCCTGGCCATCATTCCTTAATATATATCCTCTCTGCTTCCAAAAGGGGTCTCAATTTACGCTCGAACCTTCTCTCTCTACTTCTGTCTCCCTCTCAGCCTGGCTCAATCCTCATGCACGGACGGCTCTTTATAACTGAGCATGGTCGATCAACATTTGGTTCAGCGGATTTCACGTAACTCTGTGCGGAGTCATTCACTTTGTCGAATCTTGAAGATTCTTATTTGGCGTGTCGGCTACTCGATATACTTCTTCTACAATACATCGTAAACAGTTTAACTATCTCTCCCTCCCTCCCTCCCTCTGCCTGCATGCCATGGATATCATCTTTGTACCTTCTTTTTCAGACCAATTCTCCGAAAGTCAGCATCTAGAAACCCAGCGCACCTAGAAACCCAGCGCACCATGATTTTACGTCTTCATTCTTAGGTTGATCTGTGAAGTCAATGGTATTCTTGACCACGAGCAGGAAATCAGGCGAGAAGTTTAGATGTTGGGTGGGCTGGCTGGCTGATGAAGGTCCACGCTATGCATGTGCTTGGCCCACTACTTAACCAGAAATAGGTCACATCTCTTCGGGATGCTACCTCGACCGTTGACGTAGATTCTTGTTATACCCTAGTAATATTGTATAATGTACATATATCTGAGTCTCCAGCAAATAGACTCGGTCTATGCTGTGATTTTCTCACTAAATAGCGGGATGTGAATGCTTTCGAACATGGCATTATATATAACAAACTGCTTATATCAACAGGTGTTTCTTACTATGTAGCTAAGTTAAAAGCCTTTCTTAAGTTATAGCTTTCGATGCTTTTTTAAAAGCTAAATCTTTAAAAAATGAACCTATGATGAAAAATATAAAAAACTTTAGTTTTGAAACATAGAATGAACTTGATAGAATTGCAATTCAAAATTCTTCTATGATATGGTAATAAGCGCTATGATCTGATGAATATTTTGAAAGTTAAACTACTAAATTAGTACATTTTTTATGGTATATGAAAATTTGTGTATTATGATGTTTGATTTGAAATTGATTCATGATATGTTGTGATATACATGGGTATAATAATTATTACAATAGATGTGAACCTTATCAATTGTGTATATATGTTATCTAACATCTAATATATGCATGTTGGACCTATCAAATGCAAATCTGAAACATCAATGAAGAGAGATAACGATTTTTAAGTTAAAAGCTTGAAATAACTTTTAACAGTTTCTTAAGTAAAGAAAGTTTTTACTGAATCTTTTGAAACTTGCAGAGTGTATCATCCTTCTTATTCTATATTTAATATGATAAAGTAGCATCTATCAATTAAACTTGATTTTGGTCTTTAATCTTTATACTGTATCCGATATGTCTTGTAGCGTCTATCAAGTAAACTTGGCTGACTCCTTCGTCTAACCTAGTAAAGCATTTTAGAGACAATAGAGTCATTTCCAGACTTTTGGTAGAGTGCACTCAGAAACAAGACGTAAATATATTTTGCAAGATGTCACTGAGTGAAACTTTTTGCAATAAGTTTTGTGATGGTAACTGCATGGTATTTGACATTTTGTATGCCAAATCCTAGCTATATGGTCCACATCTTCGACCTGTGGTTAAAACATGTGTGAACAATGTCATCCCATGCAACAACCAATCCAAATGTAAACTTGATGAAGAGCATGTGAAACTTTGGCTTTTTCATTCACATTCAAGGATGCCGAATTGCTTGAACTTGCCATTGCACCAACTTAGAATATGATAAAAGCAAAAGTTTCTGCAATGAATAAATTATGAACAATTTGTTATAAATCATTTGAATTCAAGATAACACCCATACATCTTGTTTAAATCAGAAATACATCAACCGAAAACTATGACAAGATGGGTTTGATCTTGAAAACTTTGCTGGAGCAATTGACTATAATATATCATTGGTGACTGATGACTACCCTAGAATAGCATAGCTTGTTAGGCACTCTACTCCTCTAATGAGATTGACAATACTAGGAACAAATTCTAGATAATATTTCTCATTTGTGAAATGGAACCAATTCTAACTCCTATTAAAATGCTAATTTTATCAATATTTCAAAGCATTGCATGTAAAAAGACTTTTTTATAAGTATCTCGGAAAGTAAACACGAGCTAGATGTGACATATCACTTGTACTTGCTACAGTGAAATATGCAATATACACACAATTCAGTGTTGAAACTTAACTCATATTTTGAATGTATGGTAATAGAATTTGAACAGAACAAAATTGTTAATTTTAATTCAATTGCGATTGATGACAACTCTATTCTATTTAAACTATACTGCTAAAATATATTAAAACCATAAAATCTTCAATATTTCCATTTTATATTGCACAAAGAAAAATATATTAATTTCAGCATTGAAACCGATTGAAGAACCCAACGTTGAAGTGATGGATAGCAATTGATGGCAGCTTACGTCTATTCAAATTATATTGCTATAGTAAGTTCAGACAAAATATGCTTGATTATCATGATTATTGTCGCTTTACGAAAAATACTAATTGAAACAAACGCTTACTGTTGAAATGATTATTAGTTGTTGAGTTCTATTCAAAATCGAATGCTACATAATATCAAAAGAAAATACATTTATGTTTATATTCTTAAGGTATACATAAAGAAAACTTGAGACTCAGGTCATGACTTACAATTGTAACATTATTATGATTGATAATTATCCATGGAAGATGATTTATATACAAATTTTAATACTGTGGTGTACGTATTTAAAATAAAATTAGCTATTACAATTTTTTCTTGTATTGTAAACAGAGGAATTCAATATTTGAACTTTCGGTTTTGACTGAAAATTCTAATACGAAGTGTTTGAATTGGTGGCAACAGAGTTCTATCCAAACTTTAAAAGAGAGTTTTAATATATACTAATGAGACAAGATAGTGTTTAATCTATTTACAATTACGTTTTACATACATATTCATTGGAACTTGAAATTGAAGTCTTGACTAAACCTAAAACAAAGTTTTACGTACCTGCCTGAAACAGGTACGTAAAAGTAATGGCTGAGCTTCTTAGAACAGAGAGCAAGTGAAGAACTTGTGCTCCTAAAGCGAAGATACTGAACTTCTCGCACGCATGTAAGGCCTTTGTTCTATGAACTGGACTATGTAGAAACTAGATATTTGGATTTGACTGAAATTTGAAACATTTGAGACCAATTGTGAAACAAATCTCCTAGAGCAAGCCAAAAACCTTTAGAACTATTTAGAATTTGCACGAAATTACTAACTGTAATAGGCATTGGATTTGGATCGTCACAAGTTGTGGACTGTCCACTATCAAAGCCATCAACACTCAAACGTTATGCCCCTTATTCGAATTTCCAAGATATGAATGTTATTGATATGTTATGATACTGGACATTGTGACACTTAGCAGTATCCGAGCTCGCTCGTTTATTATCTATTGGGTTATCAGGTTATCAGATTTAGTATCAGGCTATCTGTTATAACTTTTTCTTGATCTTGTAATTTTCGTATGCCTTTAAAGATCATCTTCAGCAAATCTGGCAGTCATCAAAAGTCTAGGTTCCTCAGAAGGATGGCATTGACTGTGTAATTGAGTAACTAACGAATAGCATATAGGGTAATAAAGGCCTCTAAGGATTTAGTGTTATGAGGTGTTTGGAACCAGGGGCGGAGGTAAAGCTGGGGGAAGGGTCTACAGATTGTGAAAACGCGTTTGAGAAAAAATTTCGCCTGCGGCGGTACTGCAATACCTGGCGGGTAGCCACCCCACCCCGCACCAGAAAAATCCTGGCTCCGCCCCTGTTTGAAATCTTCCGACACAAGCCAGTAGACAGATATCTTCTGAATTCATCCGGACTCAATTGTTTCTGTAACTTTATTTTAATAGCATGTAAATTTGTCTCCCTTTCGTTATACTCAGATCTTTCTGTTGGATTTGCACGTGACGTAAATCGAAGCAAACCAATCTGTCCGCGAGGGCGACGTAGTAAACAAGATCACACTCTCCAGATAAATTAGCTAGGTATCTATAACAGGGATGCGCATGTGAATGTCCAATCGATATCCTGCTATCTGTATAGGCTTTGAATACCAATTCAGTTCATTATTCAAGGTATACATACTATACATGGTATTGGCATAACAGATGCCAATATTGAATGTTATGCCTTCATCGAAGAAGAAGATGGAGAAGAAGACTCTGACTATAGTTTAAGTTATAGTCAGAGTGAACATGATTATTAATACCTTGTTAAATTATGTCCAAATCTACGCTTCAACTGTCGAACACAACGTAAAAACCCACTTGAAGTATGTGCATACCTTTATGATACTATTGCACGTGAATCAGACATCAGTTTTGTTAAAACATTGAAAACGAAGTTTTTTAAAAGCAAAATTTAGCAGTATTTACAGCTACGATGCCATTTCACACAAGAATGAGGCCTTCGCTACTTATATTCAAGTTATTTTACGTTGTTACTATGTTGGCCTTGCATCCATGTAATCGTATATGATATGGATTAATTATTCCTTAATACAAGTTGTTTCTTTCATCATTTTACGAGAACTATACTTCTGTTACAGCCAGTATTACCAGCTGACAGTACTGTGACAGTGCGTGTCAGTGTTACCAGCTGACACGCACCAATCAATAGATGCCTGAGGTGTATGCAACATCAGTCGGTCAATAACTGAGGAAACGGGATGAGTGATTCGTACACCTTGCATGAATGAAGCCAGTTGGCATCATTCACACGTAGGTCCCATGCGAATTTTTTTCACTTTGCATCACTTCCCCTGTTCGTCATGACTCTAAATAGAGTTATTTTTATACCAGCAGTGAGTTGTGGAGATGACTGACCAAAAGTCGTCGAGCATCTCCATGCTTGAAGAACAAGTGTGAACCAAAATGTTTGGTTATATATTTTATAAACTATTTGCTTTTGATTACTGCTCCTGCTGCGAGCACTTTTTCCTACTGTCTTGTCACCTTGTGTGACAAGACAGCTAATCGACATTCTCGCTTACAAAGACAACCCTTCGATTTGACCTTCTGATTCCAAACCTACTGGAATCCAGCTTCTTCATTCTCGTCTTCACTGTCCATGATGATTTGTAATTGGGTTGTAACCTCTCTTTGAGCTCAGCATTCAATATTAGGAAGTTTTCTGATATTGAATGCATTCAATTTATTGTTGAAGTATCAACTCTTTTGGACAGATGCAGAAAGATGTACTTCATCGTGGCTCAACCACGTTGAATCCTGAAGGTACCGACAGGAATTTCTTACCGTATCTCGCATTAGAGACGGAGAAGAAAAGAGCTTCTGTTGAGGTGTTGTAGGACCAAAGTTAGGCACTTGAGAATTTTGTCCTATTTTGACACAAAGAAAACTTCATATTGGGGGAAAGATTTTCCTGCGAGTACGAAGCGTGAGTAAGCTTGAAGGCTATGTCTTGTGAACATGCGTTCGCAGCTCCGCCAAATTTGGAGCTACTAATATAAAATAGGCACTTAGAAAAAATGGCATGAATAGATTACACTGTAGGATCAGTAACGAGAGTAAAGAGGGGGATTAAAGAGACCTCGATTTCCAGAGTTGAGCATTACGAGCAATTACCTCAAGATGCATACATTGTCGATTCCCGTTCAAAGGCCATTGCTAGTGAGGCCAGACTGGCGTGATGAAACAAAAATTTGCATAGCATTGATTTTACAGAGGATTGTCTGCTGTAACATAATTCAATTTATATGAGATGAGATACTTAAATAATTGAGAGGTAAAAAATATATTATGAACTATTTGAAATAAATTGATAAGATTTAGAAACAAATTAATATACTTTGACTTATTTCTATTTCTGCAACATTCTCACCTTCCCCTTGTAACTCTCTAACATGTGTGTGTGTGTGTGTCGAAGATGTTGTAGTGTCAACTATGACATCTGGGGTCACTGCCGAAAGCTCCAGCACTCATCCTGTAGAGAACTGGATCCTCCAGCTCTCTGTTACTTCTGGCTGAAGCCAGGGAACACGATCTGGTTGATGTAGCAATTTATAGGACAGTTTCGATGCATGTGCCGATGACTTATGTGCTGATCTTAGACAAACTAATTAGGTAGATAACGTCATTAACTGTTGTATCATCACCCTCACTTGCATTTGGAGGTTGGTTCATTCCAGTGACAAAGAATCCTCGACTGAGGAGACCTTCAGTGGGTAAAAACATCAGGACATGCCAAAACTCGGCGAGAGCGTAGAATTGTTCATACTTGTACTGTTGGCACTTTCAATCCCTTGTCAAACTCTGCTGAATTTTTCCAATTGCAGTAACTGCAGCGTCCAATTCAAATAGTATCCAATTCAAATTCATCATGAATGCTATCTGACATTCATATGGTCCTCGCTATCTGTTTTGACTGGAAGCTGTACGTGCCAGTTCAATTCATCTTCGCCGAGAAAGCGCGCTTCCCTTATCAGTTGCCTTCTTTTCTTAACTTGGCATATATTTTTCTAGAATATTTCAAAGTGCACAGACATCAATATTGATTCGAGTAATAACAATGCAATGCAGCCTGTTAACTGATAATTTAACAGATAAGTTCTTGGCCGCTAGCACCGTCGATGGGTGCTCAGAAAGCTGGTTATTGTGTCCTGTGTAGTCCCTTCAACGCTGGCATAACGCTCTTTCCGGAGATCTTTGGACCCTCCTGAATATGCGGGCAGAGGAGTTCAACTCCTGCTTTTGACCAAGGCTATTCCAGTGCTTTGAACGCGCATCGAACTTTTTCACGAGATTCGGAATTCCTCACATCACTTTGTTAGAGACGCTGATCAGATGAACGAGCCAAATCTATTTCAATTTAATTTGAGTATTTTTCGACGCATGAACTGACAGCGAACACTGAGACATATAGACACAAACTCAAAAGATTCAGTCATCTCACGCAAACTGAGATCAAGAGTTAAATTCTCCACTAAAACTTGGTGAAACTGATGGTAATTTTACAGTTCTTCGACAGTAAGTCCTGTGTTCGGTTGGAGACTTACAGCAGGCAATAACCAAGAAGCGAAATTTCCTCAGCCCTCAGTGTACTTCACCTCTTACCGTCCACCGAAAATAATATGACTACCTTTAGAAATTTGGAACTGTAGTGCCTCTGTCTCTTAACTTCCATGGCAACATGTGATGATCAATAGCAACACAGCAAATGCCGCAAAAGAGTAACTCCCTGATTTGATCGCACAGGTTTTTTAAATATTTTTCACTTATTTATTTATATATATATATATATATATATATATTGATTGCCCCAAGTTAGTGCTTATGTGAGTATATCTCCATATCCCTCTCCACTCCGTATCCTGTGAGGAGTCCGAAGATGAACTATAGCAACCTATATTCCAAGAGATATGGTTTGGTTGCTTGTCTCTTATTGATTGCATTTCTTACATGTCAACGAGTAATTGAAGCTGTGATATTCTTCCAGTTTGCAATATTTTATGATATACGCACTTCCAAATCTATGACGACTCAGCCGAGAAAGCAGTCACAAATCTAAGTCTTACCAGATCTCAGCTGTCCAGCACGAGTATGAGGTGGATATACGAGTATATTTGTATATCCACCTCAATACTCATTAAAGTTTGCATTGTTTGCAGACTGCTGAGAAGATACGAATAGCATGGAGAGAAGAGATACAATAGGAGGATAGAAACGATAAATTCTACGTCAGGAACGAGGGAGAATCGTTCGTCGTAGGTATAAATGTCCTGTACTGACAAAGTACCCAATACCGCTTTGCAAGACCACATTATGAAGCACTAAAGCATAAAAATACGGGGGAAGGGAACCATCTGATTCGAGCATTTCGCCCAAAAGTTCGAGAACGTCAACCATAGCCACATATTGACGACATAGACTATATAAACCAAAACCTGGATTGCTACAAATTTCAAAATATTACTCTCTTCAATGATCTGCAATGTGCCATACGACTATCTCAGCGGATGATCTGCGTAAGAGCAATATAATCGCTTGTACACCAGACTGACATCTACTCCGTAAATGTACGCAGATGAAAACTTCAGGAACTGGTGGATGAGCTACACAGTCAGAGCTGACTAAGCGTAAATTGCCCACAAATATATAAATAGTTTATGCTCAGCTGCATATTATATTACATGATCACGTAGGAACAATATGACATTTGTAGAGCAAATTCATGAAGGGTAGTAGGAACTGCCCTTAAGATTACGGATGTAGCATTTAATTCTTATGGAGCTAGCCATGAAATAACCATGGGAACACATCTGAAGCACATATAACAAGATAAGAACAAATTTTTCCTATATATCACCACGACACAAGCTTACAGCGATTTTCTTCGTGGTCTATAACTCCACTCACAGGTTTGCACCACAACTGCTCTGAGTTTTCTAGTTATATTATGGAAGATGCAGAGTGCAAGATCTTCTTAGACCGAATTCGAACTTCCAGGATCGGTTTTATGTTTACATAGTCGCCACATTGGAATTTACCACTCGGCAGTTCACACGAATTTCGCCGTCGGTTCCTTCGAGAGGGCTTAAGTTGCCCATCTTGATCATGGAATTTGCGAATGCAGTGAAGAAGGTTAGTTGGTCGCTGGCGTAGGACGACACAAGATCAGCTGTGGACCCGCCTGTAGACTGCAAAACTTGATCAGAGGTGAAATATCCTCTCAGTATCAACAGATTCGAGTAATATGCATTGTCAAAGTCGGTCGGTGTGTCCTGATCCAGGTCCACTAATGTCGCAGCACCAGCAGAGCATATGCTGTTAAGAGTGGCATTGTAATCAGGATCGATTGTAGCATCGGGAGGATTTCCTCCGATTCTGGCACTGACAAGACCGCAACGGCCTTTCCCAAAGGTATGAGCACCTGCAAGCAATCGAGTTGGCATATTTTGATTCTGATTATCTTTTTGATGGTCATCTCACTAGTCATTGATGTACTGTAGTAATAACTAACTCTGAATATAAAGCATGAACGTTGTTCTGAGATCCCAAGCTAGTCCAATAACGCTGTTGTAAAGCTCCAAGTACCTGACAGTGCTACCAAATCTTCGTCGGTACCCATGCCAACAGCTGCAAAATTAGCCCGCAGAGTGGACACGTTACTAGAGGGAGCTGGTAAGAATGTGTTGGCAGCGTCTCGTGAGGCGGTCAAGCTGTCTCTTCTTCCAAACAGGACTTCCCATGTAGGACCACCAAGCTGCAAAAATTGGACACAAATACCTCAATACTCCTTCAGTCAGATGCAGACTCTGATCTCGCGAATTAGGATACTTCCTGTTCATGGACCAAAGAGCAAGGTACTAACATTTGATGAGGAGCCCTGAATTCAGTTTTCAGTAAATCTCCCCAGAAATGAGAGATATGTACGCTCAATTTTCATGAATTGAGAGTACGTCTTTTTTCAGGATCCAGCTCTTCGTGCTGCTGACTGCTAACAGTACAACAAGGTTGTGTATTTCCTTCAGGTGTACCTGGAATACAGAGTCTCAGGCGACCAAGGCCAAAATGTCAGCACATGATACAGTATCAGGGCACTGAGCTTCAAGATCAGCTTTGATAACATCTATGACATCGAAGCCTCTCAGTGAATTATTATTAGAGATCGAGGCTTTCTCTCCCGTGAATGTCGCCGTATCATCCAGAAGCACAGATCCATCACATCCCTACAAAACACAGAAGACATGATTAGAATCTCTTGCACGCGTTCTTTGTCTATATACAGTTAGCATTCAAGTCCCATCTGGTGAAGTTGAGGTTGGTATTGCGGAGATCCAAAGTTCTGTGAGGATATTTTCAAGGTGAAGGTTGATGGAGACGAGCACTAATATTTTAATATCCCAGGAATTTCTCCAGAGCTATCGAGTTCAAAAGATAACTTCTAGTTTTGTTTAAGCTTAATCTCAGAGAAGTATCATCAAAAAAGGCAACTCACATTGACCCAGCAATCGTGGAAATGTAACCTCATCAGAGATGCACCCATTCGAGCCTCAGCAGCAACAGAGCTAGCCACTTGACTCGACACAATGGTTGACAAATTCGGGCACGATGAGTCGTAGAAGGTCGAACTGAGCTCAGCTTGGCCAGTACCAGACAGTACAATCACGGACAGTATCATCACCAATACCAGATTCGTCGTCCTCTGGTCCATTTCCGTGCACTTGCCTCCAATTATCCTGCCTAAAACAACGTCTATGCTCTCAGCCCGAATCTGAATCACTTCCCACGACCTTGCCCCTAGTGCACTCAAAATTTCTAACTGCGAAAATCTTGGGCTCGGTGGGTATTTGTAGGGACATTTCAATGGAGGTACAAGTGTCTTCATGCTTATTTTTTTATAAAAAATTGGTATACGTCCATATTAAGATTTCGCTTCTGCTTATGTACATGGAAAACCGGTTCTAAAAATAGTTTGTCGTGTCTTCTTGTAGAAGTGTAGTGTTGCTAGCTCGAAGTGTGTGCATGTCAATTTTGTGGAGTGTTTCAGACATAACTCTTCAAATTGCTGATCGGTGGTTGACTCGAGGTCTGATGTGAGCGAGACTGTTTCTGTCTTTTTCTAACTTCCACGACCTTAGCTTCGTAGCCTGTGTACCTATTGTAGTCTGAGATCTAGACTGTGGGACCTCTGAAGACATTGTCGTGATGTTCCTTCGATTCAGGCTTCCTAGATCTAGACTCGCCCCTAATTGCAACACCAGTATCAACTCGGGGAAGACTTTCTTAGCTTCCAAGAAGCGAGAGTCCAATGTCGAAGATTTCACAAAGCCGCTGGACTATATATCAAACAGTTAAGTCATTAACATTTTCTGAAATAATTAAGGAAAATTCTGCAGTTGATTATTTTGTGTTCAAACTCAGTCGATTGCAAATCTTCAGGCTGTCATAAGACTTCTGTAAACATCCTATGATCTTGCCCTCCGAAAGAGTGGTCAACTCCAAATTCTAGAGATAATTCGCGTTCGCATAGTATTGCGTCGATCACAGAACAAGCGTCAAGGAGACTCTTTACAAAGCCACTAATAACGATGAACAATATGAAAAATTTGAATCTTCCTGCCTTCGGCCCAGCTCGGCCTTTCTCAAGATCAGACGGCATTCAGCACTTGACGACATTTGTGTTGTCATTGTTCATGACTTCAAAGCAAAATTGTGTACTGTTGACCATCACTTCAGGTTGTTAACCCAGTCGTCCTAGATACTCGAAGCAATCTGCATAAGTAGAATAGATAAGATCCAGATATTTCAAGTTTCAAAGGGTAAAGATTTTCATCCATATCTGTCAAGTCGGCTGCTGCTGGACACTGATGATGACTGACAAAAGTTCAAAACAAGCTTACGACTGTAACTTACAGTCTCTGACTCTTGTCCATTGTAGTTGATTGTTTCATCTAAACTGATATCATACTTTTCATTCGGTTGAAAGAACCAAGTACAAGTGAAATTTTGACTGACCACTAGACAGCAAATGCATTAAATCTGAACTATACTTGAAGAAGATCAGATTTGTTAGTTTCTGCCCCTTCTGCACACGAGAAACTTCTACAGCACTGATGTACTTCACGTGAAACCCAAGGCAAAAGGTCTTGTCGCTTACCAACACCTTTTCCAGTTCGACAGGTGAGAATTTTCATCGAACAAGACTGTTATATCAAATTAAAACCACTAGATTGAAGTGCAAGAGAAAGACACTTATAGAAAAAGAAGATATTTATAGAATTGAAATAATTTAATTTGAAATACACAAAATTAAATGTTAAAGTAGGTACTGACTTTGTTTCATGTCAAAGTGCATTGGCACTTTAACAATAATTTTCAATTTCCGATGTTCTGACAGTATACGACTATCACGCTAGCTGAGTACGTCACAGAAAGTAACGGCATATTGCTCATGATGAATAATGTGATGGCTGCTTTTGGCAAGGTTGACCTCATCCTGTAGAGTACGTATGTCTCTTTGTTGGCTAACGGGCTGATGCGATTCGTTTCGTTGTGCCTCCCCAACCCGTTATATATTGAATTTCATACTACCTCAATTCTTCTTGTGGAGATCCGTGGACTTTAGGGTGAAATCCGTGGGCATGTCAGAAAAAATTTTCCGGCGTGACATCAAGTCCGTTGTGATTTTTTGCCATAACATGCAAAGATCCAAGTGTATTAAAACTTCCTCAAAAAGTAGAGGATATGCACAAGTTTTGACGCTGGAATTGATGCTTGAGAAACAATCTTTTGTATAAACTTCTCTCCACACGCTTGGTTACTGTTTGAGCTTCACTCCAAGAATAAATCGACTTTGTAATTGTCGGTGCATCTAGAAGTACTGTATCACTGAATATTCTATACACGTGTATGGCTGCGAATTTATGGAATTAGTTCATTATCATTGAATCGAACTATATATTCTGTTCTGTCAACTTCAGTTTTGGGTTCCGGAGGGGTTTGATGTTCTTGTAAAGACTTCAGTACCCTGTTAACTGAAAAACTTAGAATTGCGGAAGTCATTCGTCCTACGTTGTCGTTCTTGTTTCATGCTGCCAAATCACAGAACAGGCTTGAGTGTAGGAAAAAATTATACAAATTTAGATGACACGATATCATAAAACCCGAGCTCCACTAAAGTTCGAAAATCAGGCAGTTCTCATTCAGGTAGAAGTTGAACTCAACACTTTTCGACCTAAATCCTTCGTTATCGCTCTAACCGACATTCTAGCTGAAACGGAAAAGTTTGTTGTTCTACTGATCTGGCTCAGAGAGCAAATAACGTCGAGTCGATTCATTTCTTAATAAATAGAGTTGGTTAATCCAACGGTAATTATCCTAATTATCCTGCTACGAGGCAAGTCCGTTAATAAAATTTACGTGACGCAGGTTCTTCTACAATATATCACACGTACATGTGACCTGAATTAACAATATTTTTTCTCTTTCAAAAGTATGAACAAACATTGTTTATAAAAACAAATTGAAGTAAAAGGTGTTATGATTGAGGTTAATAACACATCCCTTAGACAAATGCTAGCTCATGAGTTTAGTCATAATCTTTATATGGCATCTGGATTGGAGCACAACGAATCAAGTATGTATACAGTTAGATGCGTCATAGTTAAATAAAAATATTGAGGTTTTGGAGTCGTTTCTTGATCGTATGATGTCTCTACATCATACGATCAAGAATTAATAGAGTACATCTGCGCAACCTTTAAAGTCATATATAGTTGCGGTGACTTGTAGTATAATACATACTCTTGAGACTAATTGTACAACCCTAGATTTCAATTTATAATTCCGAGAGATAGGCAAAGTAGTTACACCTCCTCACTCATTCAGAATTTTGAAATATGAAACACTTCATAGTTCTCTAATATGAAAAGATCCCAACAGATTTGCAAATTCTTTCGCTCTCATCACTATCGATCAATGAAATGATGATCATATTCAACAGGTTTAGAGTAAAGTTTTGTGGTATCCCACTTTTGGTATTTTTGAGTAAATTAAAACATTTTTGGAAAACTGTACCGCGACAGCAGTGTAAATAGCCTTCGGTGCATCAAAATAGAGTGAAATTCGAAGATCGCAGAGAATCTCAAGAAAACCCGTAGAATCCAGTAGTTGGGTGCAACGTCGGGGACGGACACCACCCTACATGCGGGCTCTGAAGGAATAACCCCTTCGGCGCTAGAGGAATCCTTTAGAACCTGGTCAATTCCCGAACGCCTCGACTTGGTTAGGGTCTCGTTGGAAAAAGCTCGACGCGCTGATTCTAACGAGCCCAAGAACGCCACAAACGGAGGAGGATTCCGGGAGTTATAAAGGTCGCAAGACACGCAGCTTCTCGCCTACGAGTAGGCGAGGAAAGTTTGTCCAATGCGCGGACGAAGGAAGTCCGCCTACGCGTAGACGAAATAGGGTTTGACGTCGGCGGGATGTCCGCCGCGAATTTCGCCTACTCGTAGGCGGGGAGGATTAAAACCTCTGCGCAGGCGGACGAGCGAAGCTCGCCTACGCACAAGCGCTTCGGCGTCGGCGGGAAATCCGCCTTCGGCCCTAGAAATGCGCCTTCGGGGTTGGAAATTGTACGACGCCTTCGGCGCCAGCGCAGCAGCGCGAACGAACATTTGATAGGCGGACGGAATTCGCCTACTCACAGGCAGATGAAGTTCCGCGCCGGCGGAGATTCCGCCGGGGATTCCGCCTACGCAGAAGGGAGTTCAACTTTTGTCCGATGCGCAGACGATCGCCTTCGGCGGAGAGGGATTGGCCAGAGATTAGTACGAACGAGTGTAGCGCGCAAGGCGAGAAATCCGCCTTTTGCGCTGCGCACCCCTGTCCGCGGCGTAGTACGCTAGCGGAGTTCAAATTGCCAATTCGAACGTGTGAGTTAAGTCGGCGTCGGCGGAGCGTGAAGCCGCGCGTGAGAGAAGAGGCCGTTATAGCGCGGAGCCGGCGCGGCCATCAAGTGATTCGACCTTCACGACCGAGAACCGACCATGACCTTCGACCACGAGACGGAGTACGCCCCATTCTTGAATTCGCGATTTCACTTTCTAGTGCGAGCTGCGCGCGGCCACCTGCTAGCTGTTAAACATTCTACACATCGCCGCGCGGAGGATTACTTGGGGACTTAGAGAGAATTGAGTGCGCGCGATTTGGAATTGAGGGAGATTAGAATTTGTAGAGGGAGCAAGAAGCTCGAGTAGAGCAGAGAGAGAGTTGTTGCGCAAGCAAAGTTCAAGAACGCAATGTCAAGATTGAACAGGTTGCGGATGCTGCTGCTCCGGCTTCCACAGAACGGGTTGCGTGCTTTCGAGGAGCGGCTGATTGCAAGAAAGCTTGATTTCTTGCTATGGGGATGGAATTACATTTGTGTAGACATGGTACGCGAATGGTTGGACGCGGAGCCACAACCTACGCGCGGATTGCGTCCGCACGTAGATCGGTGGACCGTCCACGATTGGGCGCAGGCATTGGGGAGGTGTGCCGGCACCGACGGGTACCTCCTCTTTGATAGTGAGAGCGTCAAGGTGACGAAGCAGGACGAGGCGCAATTTGTGGAGTTGTTCAAGCGGGAGAGGTCTACCAAGAACGGGTACAAGACCCGCGACTACAAAGATCGCTTCTGCCGAACTGTAGCGGCGGCGCTGCTGCAATTGC